ACGGGTGAAACATCTGCAGGAAGTTGGAGTAGAACTATGAATCTGATAGCAAATCGAGAAGAAAAACATATTAGTCAAACGAAAAGGGGCTACAGTATGCTATACATGTTATAGATAGATAATTACCAAAGATTTGTGAATCATGTTTATATCAGCCGCTCGTTAGTCATCCATTCATTAATAGGTTTCCTCCACTGTTTCCGGTATGTATCGGCAGGAAGTATTAATAAGATCGCGGTTAATTATAAGCAACTATCATAGATTATAACTCACGACCTGACTGAACCACCTGATTTAAGATCTGACTGACTCTTTGAGAGGCTACTGATAACGATATGTCCAAATGTTTCAGAGCAAGGATCCTGCGGGGAATGGAGGAAGGAGCAAAAAGAATCCGTAAATTCATCTGAGATCGGCCCGGACATGCATAGAAAGGCGCAACACGATCTCGCTGTGTGTTCGAAAAGTGAATAGCTTTTTCTAAGTAACGTAGGCCTGAGCAAGAGAATTAGAACGCCCCTTCTTTGAGCGTAAGCCATCGACACTGACGTATGAAAATGCCCTTGAGTTAATGTCCCAATATCTATGGGCTGAGAGACCGACCGTTGAATATCCCTTCACTTCATCTTTAACTCATTACTCATCAAGGGGGCTATGTAAGAAATAAAGTTGAGTAAATTCGGAGCTTGAAGAATAATTAGCGAATTGGCAACACAGATGAAGTCAGCCTTGAAATTTAATGCTATTTTTATCTGGACCTTATGTTACAAGCGGCCAAGACTAAGATCAATTAAGAATGGAGAATCTGCGGAAGGAAATTCGCAGTGGTAAGCCGAACAAAACGAAGGTCGATATTGCATTCAGCCTGAAGGGACTTAAAGTATGCATTAGACGCGCATGGATAAACTACTGCTTCTCAGAGAGATTCAATCTATTCAATAAGTGCGATCCCTGTAACATAAGAAGTAGCCAGTCAGTGTATTGGTTTGTAAAGTACAATGTGAACAAACCCAATCGTAAGTTATCTTAGCTACCAGTATTCATCACAAAAAGAGAAATCATGAAGGCCGCGGCAACACGCACTCGCCATCCCCAGTCTCCTCCGCCCTCCCTCCTCCCCCACATTCAGCACACCCCCTTACCCCTCATTCATTTCCTTGAATAGCTGGGAGGACTCAGGAGCTACCTATGAGAGTTTTCAACCAACCGTCATCCTCACCGAGCAAGATTTCGCTTTCAATGTAAGCAGAAGGAACGGTCAAGGTAAGATGAAGGGGGAAGTTTGGAGCTGTTACTAAGTTCAATCTCTTTTCCTTCTGGCCCGGAAGTTCCTCACCGATAGCATAGATGTAAACTTTAGTAGGCTCGCGAAACACCAATTTAATTCAGGAATGCTAACAATATACGCGTAGTTAGAAAAATGCCATCCATTTTCACATATGAGTCCATGGATGCAATTTTTTGCATTGTACGGTGGCCGAAGTGGATCATCTGACGTTTGACCATACGAGGTGCAACTAATCAGTACTTTCGTAGTCGCACCACTTTCAATGGCCTCGTCGAATCCGCCTCATCCGGAGTTCATTTCACCCTTTGACGGGGACCTAAGCCAACTGGCTTTTTCTGTTTTCTGGACTTTTCTTTGAGGATATGACTGACTAACATATGCGTCATCCTAGTTAGTGCACTCTCCCTCAACGGATACCAACCTCGCTTCGCGCCCCTTTCTGCCAAAGAATTCTTGGCTATGTTGATGAACCTGCTGAAGAGCGAACTTCCCCTAGCACGACCTCGATGCCCCTCAAAGTTTTGAGGCTTGCACTTTCTACGAGAACACATTCGATTTCGGTGCGTCTGTTTCGCAGGTATGGTCTTGATGTAGTTGTACCGGTCGAAGTTAACAATTTCTGATGAAAATAGCTGTTGTGAGCCAGTAAAAAAGACTGAAATGCATCGAGGTCACTACGCTGACCAATTCAACTGACCGTCTCCCGCCTTGATTGTGGGTTCTCGCTGTTCTACTTGTGCTCGTTGCCGAGACTCGAGCCACGAGGCCGTTTCTGTCGCTACCAGGTTAATCACCTACATTACGTGCTATACTGGAAGGAAAGTCCTCCGAATGTCTCTCATTTTCTTTCTCGAGAACTACCTCAGGTATTCAGCAAAAGAGAGGTAGGCGGCAAGGGGTAAGAAGTAAAAACAATACCTTTAGCTATTGTCTTGGCTACAAAGTTGGCGTTCTGTAAACGCATTCACTATCCAGAACACTTGGTAACTTTACCTCCACGAAAGAGTGGCCAACCAACTTTGTTGTTTACTAAGCACTGAGTTCGTACAATCTTTAGAAGGATTCTTTATCTTTATCTTTATTTGGTACGTTATTTAAGACAAAGTTTAAAATGTAACAATCAACAAAACAAAAACAAAATTGGGACGACACTGAGCAAGAGAATAGGTGAAACTGGCAACTAAGCTTGAAGGATGTGCGCTGCTATAGAACGTTCGAATGAAGCCAAAGAGCAGTAGAGTGAGGAAGCTCGGCTGAACCTCAAAAATGCAAGACCAGCTTTCACTGTAAAGAAATTCCGCCTAATCGTCGTCTTCGGTCATGAAAAGGAGATTTTGAGTTGATCACCTATAGTTTTCAACGGTATAAGCGTATATGAAGGGGAAAAAGCAATACCACATTTACGGTTTAATAACTTATGTAACATACCCAAGTCGAAAAATTGCGCCTTGACTGAAGGGTGGGCAATCCAAGGTACTTATTCCTAGATACTAATTCCTTAGAGCAGCCTTGAGGATTTTGGAATACAGAAACCCGCCGCAGGGAACGAGCACTTTCCTGGTACTGCTATTTTGAACCCTCTCAATAAGAGCAATGTCTTTCTTTTGAGCCGGGCAGTATATCAATGTTCCACTTTCAACCAGCTGTCGCACGTAGGTCTCATACATATAATTGTATGAGGACCTTGGTATCTTTGGTTATGAGCGCCTTGAATATGTTATAGGTGCGATAGACAGCAGAATTGTAAACGTGCTCATAATGACGGGTGAAGTCTAGCTTGTCACTATAGCGGAAGCCTAGGTCCTTAACCTATTTACATCTTGTAATTTCTTACCCATTCATGAGGCAGTGGCTGCTTTCATAGTACGCCGGCGGGTCGGCCGCGATAGTGCTAGGGGAGGGGAGGGAGGCAGACGGTCGGTCAAAGGTTTGAAAACAAAGAAGAACAAGATCAAAGCCAAACAATCAGGGGCTTGTACGAATGGTTTTTAATCTTGTCTCTCTTTGTTTGCAGCCGTTCGAAGGGGCTTGGGGTGACGCGACCGCGTCGACCGACGGTCTGCCTCCTTCCTTCCCCCTAGCGCTGCCTGGCTGGCACGCCGGCGGACTATAAAAGCAGCCTGTTTATGCGCCAGGGTCCAATATGCATTCGGACAGTTTTGACCGAGGACAACGGAAGCTGCCATTCTAACGACCAACGCACCAGCCCATCAATTGATAGCTGCAGAGACAAGAAGTCCTCTAGTGAATTTATCACTTTGTAATACTTAATACTATCCCCAAATTGTTTGCAAACGACATCGTTAGCAGTAGAAATAGAAATCATATCAGCCGAAAAAGTATTGAAGAATATTGGTGATAGCACACCGCCTTGCGGAACTCCACTCAGGACGGGCAAAACTTCCGAATAGGAGGAATTGATACGAACTTAGAATGTGTTTTCAGTGAGAAATTCCTTAACCCAATTGTAGCTTTCACGTGAAGTCCCAACTTGCTTAATTTGTATAAAAGTTTTTTGTGACTTACTTTATCAAGAGCTTTTGTAAAATCGAAATAAATCACATCCACGCCTTTTTTATCATCCAGTGCAAGAGTCCAGTCGTTCAGCGATTCTAGCAAGTTAGTAACAACGGAATTCCCTTTAAAAACCATGCTGAGTAACTGGAGTAAGATTGTTCTGTTCAAGATGGTAGAGAGTATGGGTTCTCAACAGTTTTCCGAAAACTCTGGAGAAATGGGAGGTTATGCTCATTGGCCTGCAGTTGAAGATGTCTGAGGATGGGGCACATTTGGGACAAATACGAAAGGAATTTCGTATTTGTAAAGAAAGGCGAAAGGCGTGATAGAATATGAAGAAGGCCATTTTTTCAAAACTTCATTATTTTTCCAGGATGGAAGTATGGGAATGTTTGCATTTGAGTTTGAACCAAGGGGGCAAAAGCCGGGAGGTTATCATAATTAAAATGAAATGACTTCTTAAAATGTCTTGCAAAAGCTTTATCTTTATTACGCTCATTCAGCAAAAGTTTACCTCCGATATCAGGTCCGAGATTTGAGCCTTATCACGAACCTTGGATTTTATGAATATGAAAAAACTCTTGTCTCTTGTCTTTGGATTCAACTATTTTCTTCTCAACGTTTCTGCTAAATTTCTTCAACTGCTCAGCGAATTTCGATTAAGACTTTAAACTCTCTCCAGTCACTAGTAAGCCTAGCGTAATGTAACAAACACTCTTTGTGATCTATCATGTTTTGGATAGAAACACTGCCAATAAGTTTAGAGTATTTACAAAAAAAGCAGGTCCAGATAGTAGGAACCCCTAGTTGACTCAAGGATATACTGCCCAATGCCGTGACAAGCCAATATTTAAGAAAGTGGGGTGACGTATTTCATTGAGCCCATTGAATTCCGGGGAAATTGGAGTCGCTTATGACAATTAGAGGGACTGCAACGGTCGCAAGATCGCTAATAACTTTGGCTAGTTGAATAGTGACAGCAGTTGTTGTAGAAGGTGGCCTGTGGACCAAGACAGGATAGTGCTACTCTACGTCGACATATTAAGCAAGTCTTCACCTTTCATGGACACATCACCTTCCGATCCTAGCATCCAAGTTTCAAGAGCACTGTCATAGTGATCACAACTTCAAGCTACCAACAAAAAATTTGCCTCTCTGCACATTTTTATTGATAGGCACTATTTAGATGAACGAATTATTGTTGTTTGTTTCTTTTTGCAAAATATCCATCAATTGCAGTCACCATAGGGTCCACATACACGTAGAATAGAAAATGAGCACCCATTGTTTGGGGCAGATGGAGAAATATGAGGAACAACGCCTGAAATTTTGATCTTGACCCATTACTTTGTTGCGCATGTCGTAGATTTTTTTGATCTTCCACATGCAATTCTTTCCGAAAATGATTATTTTGAATTTAGAAAAAATATATGTGCTATTAATGTTCTAAAGAGGGTAGGAGAGTTGGTCACATCTTCCTATTCTCGTTGCCCTCAAAGATTCCCATCTGCTTATCCACCATTACCCAAAGGTGCTTGCAGTTTTACCTCAACTGTCATAGGTCAATGTCCGCCACTAAAGTTTTCGCTGTACTTTCAGTTCAAGTCTACATGAATGAGATACGCTCTTCAAAGGTTCTCATACAGCCTTAGGTCTGTTCTACTCAAGTTGCAGCCATACCTATTTCATTACTTTCCCCACATGTTCCTCTACAGTTTTGATTAGATAATGACATACCTTTAACAGCCAATAGAAAGGAAACCATTGCATGATTGAGCTAGCAAAGAAGTCTAGGATAGCGAACGTAGCGAATACACACCAATAGATAAGCCATTGTGTATCATCATTGGTGTCCTCGGTTCGTACTGCCTTAAAATGATCTTTGCAGATACATAGAGTATGTATGAGAACTAGTCGACAAATACCTTGACACTGGCATAGATAGGGTATGCTATTCCAATTATATTGCAAACGAACTGTGCTGCAGCTCCTATGACCAAGTATACAGCCACTATCCCAGCCACAATGTAGGCAAGCTGTAAGTATCGTGACTTTCCACGTCCTTGAGCGAATATGCTCTAAGATTAAAGGTGCGAGGAGACCGCGACGCATACCCAGTTTAATCTGTAGCAAACAAATGAAACTATGCGCCTAGTGTGGGAGCTTCCAAAAGGCATGTGCACTAGGCTCTAGCACTAAATTGCTGTCATTCTAGCCACTGGTCGTTTCGACAAGCAATCGGTTCCGCTTATGTCTCCACAATTTTACATATGAAGATGCTCCAGATTGGAGCACACCTATCCAGCTTACGCTTCGATGTGATGGATTCTTATACAATCGACAACAATCATGATAATACTCAACTATGACAGACTCTCAGCTCGCGCATTCTGATAGTTTTATCTAGTTTTTTTGGAGTTTGCCTTGTTTTTACTCAGCACAGTTATGTCATTGTACTGTAGTTTCACTCGATCTGTTATTAGTAATCTCATCCACCTGCGCTATTCATCGGGTGTGGTGCGATTCACGCGCCAATATAATGAGGTCATCGGACAAATCACGCTAAAACATCATTCCTACCATCATAACGGAAGTTATAAGAACTTATAAGTAGAATAAGTAAAGAAATGACCAACTATGCACATTTACAGATGGATTGCGTTTACTAGGATCGAAAAAATTAAAGTTATTCTTATTTTGAACGTTTGACTAGTAAATTGTTGACCTATGAGGTGAATTCACAGTCTCGAAGGGGCTTTTTTGCCATAGTAAAGAGATTTGCTCTATTTATGGTGAAGCCGTGCACTACTGCAAATTTATTTGGTCCATCTCAACAGGAAGGTACTGAAACGATGCTGCGTGCGCGATGACCTCATTATATTGGCGCGTGAATCGCGCGCCCCCCCTATCCATCTCCCTCCATTTATAGGTGTCCCAAAAGTTTTGAGAATATTTTTTGGTTTATTCAACATAAAAATACTACAACAAAAGGGTGAGATCAATAATCGAGACAGTGGCCCTTTTTAGCCACAACGTCCCTCCATCGATTGGGCAGAGCACTAATGCCATTCATACAGAAAGAAGAAGGGCGTGAAGAGATCCATTCATCTACTTCACGTTTGGCCTCCTGATTGTTATGAAATTTTTTCCTTTTGAGGTAAGCTTGTAGACTCCTGAAGACGTGGTAGTCGCACGGAATAAGGTCAGGTGAATACGGAGGATGGGGTAGCCTGGTAATCCCAAGCCTTTCCAGCTCCTCAGCCGTCGCCCTAGGATGATGCGGTCGAGCATTGTCTATCAAAATCAGAAACTTTCCGTGCATTCGGTGTCGGGGCTCGAGACACCATCTCAGGCAGCTGCTCACAGAATACTCTTGCCCTCACAGCAGTATCCTCAGGTAGGATCTCGAAGTAGAAACAGCCGGCGGAGCTGAAGAAGAACGAGACCATATCCTTTTTGACGTGTGCCCCACGCTTTGCAACGGCTTCTGGCCTTATGTCGATTGGTAGCCACTGCAAGTTCCTGTGTAGATTTTCATAAGCACCCACATCTCATCCTGAGCGATTATGAAGCTCGCCCTAGCCACCGTTCGCTTGCGGTCGAGTAGCTTCCGACACACATTGACCCGCACCTGATGCTCGCGCTCAGTCAAGGTGTTGGGGATAACTGCAGGAAGTGCAGCGCGAAAGAAACATTAGCTTGGGATGTCGTGGATGTTGGAACAGGGAGCAGAAGTCGTCCTCTCCATTCCCCTCAAGCTTTGAGTAGGATTGCTTTGGATGGAGGCTAAAACAATGTCGGTCTTTGTGGAACGTGGATGTCTGCTCCGTGGCGCTTCGTTGAAGTGAATCTTTCCTCTAGAGAAGCGACCGTACCACCTATAGCAGGTGACGAGAGAAGGTGCAGTACTGCCTATCGATGACTGCAATTCATTCCGCGCATGAGTGGCTAAGCGGTCAGGATCGTAGCAATGAAGTAGGAGACGTCGATAGTCGTGTCGGTCGGACATAGTTCAAATGATGATAACTCACTTCCAAAGATGAAGTGCAATAATGTTCTAATTGTTTTGACAATCTACCAAGAGTGCCCTTTCTCTGCCCTCTTCTCCGTGGCTCTGCTTCAGCGCTTTCCTGCTCATCATGGTTGCGAAATTCATGACCAAAATTTTCTGAAAAGTTTTGGGACACGCTAGTTTACATTATATCAACTTTCTGGAGTCATTCTAGCTACTTAATCTTCAGTCGTAGTCAGTCATATTTGCAATGTTCACCCATGTCAGTTTTTTGCATGTAAATTGCGATTACATTACGAAGTACTTTAGTACATTATGTAGATAATCTACTCCGTACTCGCTTGCCTCGACAGAAGGATAGGATTTCCGGTGCACATCGCAACTGAGCGATGCCCAACTGGCATCAGGATCACCAGGAATCCGATCTTTTTGCCGAGCACTTGACTTTACCGCCGATGCTTACCTTCTTGATCGAAGTCACGGGCACAAAAATGAGTGTTCTTCGAAAATAATGCTGTGAAGGGATCCAAATACCATTGGTCTAGTGTCAGTCGACCAGTGAAGATGCATTAAGATGCGTGCGGAGATGCAAGCGACGAACTGCGCAACGATGTAATAGTCACACGATCTCCCTATATCGATCAAGTCGATGGGCTTCCCTATGACAGCTTCAACCCTGGGCCTTGTCGATGGTTTGCGTACATGCTTTACGTTTTAGTGATAAACGCCAGAGTTGTCCGAATCGCCGCCATTCACGTCGCGCAATTCTTCGTGCGCATCTCCGGACGCACAAAGGTATCGCATACTCCCGAGACGGGGTTTCCGTACCGAATTCTCGTTCCTCACAGTGAATGTTAGCAAAAACTGCTGTGACAAAAGTCCAACAGAGATACCTTCAGCTTCTACCATCATTTAAAAATTTTTAGTTGATAAAAATCAATAAAAACGAACCTTTTCCCTTGGTAAACCACTTGCTTTTTCGATTGTGCCAACATGTTTGTTATAGAGCTCACCACGATCGCCATAAAGATAGGAAACGAAGTCGGTCTGAGAAGATGGAAAAATCATCTGCTTGGATGCTCATTGATTGCTCAATAGCCATTCAACTATAGCTTCGACATTTCTCTGGAAATTCGAGTCACCATGCAAAAGCGACCGCAGGTTCGGAACTCACATGGGCTTCACGTAAACCTTCCGATGGAGTGGTATTCCTCTTTGTCTTTTTCGTCATTTGGAGCTATAAATGCTAACCTTACCCCATTTCATGCTTATATATCTTCGTACTTATCATTCATATCATCAGACTCATTTCAACCGGGTGCGCTTCGTTGCGCGTGTCGGTTGAAACTAGGTCAGCCGTCGCACGCGGCGAATCGGCCCGCGATATTTGACAGACGTCGCAATTGGCACTGGGGCATACGCTTTGCGTTTGGTCCACGGCAGTCAGTTCAAGAAGAAGATAACACAGACAAATGCAAATCATTTGCTCCAACGACACTTGGTGGTACTGTAATATCATCTCGAGACCTCAGTGTGATGCGCCGCGCGCGAAGTGTGCGGGGTGGCCTACTTTCGACGGACACGCGCAACGGACGTCCTCCATTTCTACCAACTTGAAGTCAGTAGACAAACGACAGGTTATTAGGTCGGTTGTTCTAGCGAAGCCCTTCATGCCGCCTCGGATGTGTACGTCATCTCGAACATGGGTAATTGAATTTCGATAGCCAAAATTTGAAGACAAGTTAGACCTTTTCCCAGCTTTAAATCTTTTCACCAGCATTTTTTAACTTCTAAAACACTTCTCTAGTTACTTGTTTTCTCAGTGAAAATAGTTTGCAAAGAAAAACCTTTTCGAAAACTATATAAATCTTGATCCGGCCCAAATCTTCACCAACTACTGCTAGACCCTGAGGCAGCCCTTTCATCGATTTCGTTCCTTGTGAACAATTGGGAAAATAGAAGGAGTTGGCCAACCACAACGAAAGCTTCGGAACTGAGAGGGAAGAATTCGATCGAAGAATCGAAGTGCGCAGATTGATTTTTTTTTTCTAACGATAAAATCAATTCCAAACAGAACCACTACGGGAGGGTCGTTCAACTGTAACGTAACTTTACTTTCTCGAAGCAAAGTGTGTACATGGGAACAGCGCAAATTTGCTTGCTTAGACTTCCATAAGCATTAAATGAAAAAATTAGATTCAAAAAAGGAGGGTCAACGGTCATCTTGTGACATCTAAGGTGGGTTACCTGTTGTGATTTACAATACTTTCCTATTTATCTACAGGCCACACCTGAACTAAGCTGAGGTCTGAACGTCGTTTGGTCAGGATGAGTCTCAAATATTTTTTGGCTTCCAGGCTCTGACGAAGGCGATTGGCCGAAACGTTAGCCGAATAAAATCATTGTATCATCTTGGTCGTGGCTTCAAAGAGACCTCCAAAGAACAGATTAGACCTTTTACAAAAGTATGCTCCCAAAGAAGATTTATTCCCAAAAATAAGTCGGTAGACCACCAGTAAGTCAGCATTATTCAAGCAAAGCTCGTGTCATATATAAAATGCATCTATGTGCATTCGTGTGCCTGTCAAGGGGAAGGCGCATTCATAGTAAGCGCGTATTTGCGCAAACTGGTGGATTTTCATGGGCTATGAATGCGCTCAGCGCCGGAATCAGGTAACGCTCTTTTCACAATGAGCGGAAAGCAGCTTTTGATAAGGGATGCTAGTTTACGTCTTGGGTACGAAAAACGCAAGCAGTATGAATGCACTCATGGCGAGGGAGAGCTCGAATGTTTGAAGCAGTAGCTCGATTGGGTAGAGCGAGGATTTTAAAATCTAGAACATAGGAAATGCATCCAAGACTGTTTGGAAATCGACAGGTTTCAGGAATCTACCGATTTGGCAGTGAGATGAAAAGCAACGTGTTTTTTTGCTGAACATGCTCGAATTGAGCAGAGTATGCTACCCGAGAAGTTCCGTCGCTAGATACCAGAATAGCGTAGAGGTCAGGGAAAAATGATGGAAAAAGTTGCCGAATTCTAAGACATCATAAACAAATGAGCAAAAAAATCTTCATTCAATAGTTAAAAATATGAGCACGATGGCGAAAGTGACTTGAAGTGATAGGCAGTTGGAATAGTGAAGAAAAGGCATTCAATATACTGAATGACGAGGCTTTATACACTCGTATATGCTGTAGAGAGTGTTCCATGATAAGGGGTAACATATGCGAAGCTTTGAAAAAAATAAATCAAAAAATTATCTTTGAAAAATGCATCAGATCAACAAATAATAGTCATACATGTATGTACTGGCTAACAAGTGAAGCACCGATTTGGCAGTGATGCCTAATTCATGTTGGGAGCAGTGGTAGATGAGGAAATAGCCGGATAAAAATCAAAGAATCGACTATGGTCCACTGAAAGATCCTTCTAAACTCGGTAAAAAAAAAAATAAAAATGTTCTCTACAATGGAATGCGATTAGAAGTACAATGGCAATAAAACTATGTAGCAGTCAAGGTTATTAGAATATCGTATTAAAAACAGCCGTTCAGCACTGGTAGTTCAGCCAGGTGCCTTATCAAACATGGTATATTGAGGACGGTAAATAATCACATTCATGGGCAATACCCTTTATTCGGGATGGAATGGGAATGGGGACAATTGAAAAACCCAGGAAGAAAGTAATCCGAACACCACATTAAGCAGTTACAGCGGTCAGACGACATATTGGGGTAAAATTACCTCCACCTGCCTCCAGTGGTAAAAGGGACCTTCAACCTGATGGCGCTAGGTTCGGCATAAGCGCTGATGCAATTGGAGTGGGAGAATGTCCCTAACTCAGCAAATTCCTCTAACTCACCCCCTAGTAACTATTACCAAGCCAAGAACCCAGACTGAGCACTTGAATAGCAGTCAGTTCCCTCGCCTAGAAACTCCAAGTCTTAGAAAAAATCAAGAAAATGATGGCTATGACTGGTGACTGTTATGACCTATAGACCTGTTATGCTGCAATAAACGGCTGTTTCTAATCCAACTTCATAAAATACTATCGGTTCTGGCCGTGCGAATCTATTGTCCACTTGCGCATATGCCCCGTCTTATGGTTAGTGAGCGAGCGGAAAATTCGCGCGACAAAAGAGCAACGTTGCTATATGCCTCTTTCCCAAATTTTGACTCGGAGGACGGTCACGACGATGTAGCTGCTCAGAAGTAGTTAACTTCTTCAGCAGTTGTTGTGGTGCGGACTTCGTTTCGTCGTCGTTCGGTTCCCGTTCGAGGATCACCACCGGGCAAGAAGTCATGAGATTGTGAAACTCGAGTTACTCGATCGTAAGTGGCACGACCGGCATCGGAACCAGCATCGGAATCAGATTCGTACTGAAAATGAAATGATAATATTTGATTAGATGGTTCTTCAGGATACTTTCTGGGTTCACTCACCGCTCCTTCTGTCCTCATGTGTTCACCCATCGAAGAAGCCCCTTGAACTCCTGAAGAGATATGGGCTGAACTTCCATGAACGGATGCTGCAGTGGCGCCAGCTGCTCCAGATGCCTGTCGGAAGTGGTCGGACGACGTCACTGCGTACTGTTCGGTATCCGTCTCGAATGGACCGTGCAACACCGTCTGAATGAGCCTTATGAGGAACATGATCTAAAACTGATTCGGACTTTCGCTAACCTGGCTTTGACTGACAACGTTACCCATTTCGTCTCGAACGGTTGTGGTGCGAATCTCGCGAGTGGTGACATCAGTAGTGACCCTTCGCTCGATCTCCTCTAATGAGCCATCCGACGAGACGGATGCACCATCGTCCAAATAGGCACCAAGAACGGCGGCATTGTCGTGGCCCATCGCTTCGTCCTGAAATCGGACACACTAAAGTACGTTACGCTTGAAAATATTCCGAAAAAGCGTACCCCGTACGCTAGTGGCTTCAGTTTAGCACGAGGTATGGTGTAGTAGTCGGAGCCGAGTATTTCACGACCGCTCGCACTGCCTTCGCTTATGCCTCGTGCTCCGAAACAGCTGAAAAACCGGATCTTTTTATAATGCTTCCAACTGAAATGTGAATGTAAGACTTACCGGCAGCGAGCGCAAAGGTAGAGACAGCAAAGAAGTGTCAGCAGAAGGAAAAGCAGCGCCAAAATAGTCATAAGGATGAGGCCTGCATTCGATGGAGCGAGCTGAAATAGTAACAATATTTTGCACTTTTGAATTTTTTTAAAACTTAAGACGAAATTACGTGCATAGGCATCTCGGCACAGCTTCGTCTTTCGATAAGAGAACGGAACGGAAAAGGAGTAAATATCATGAAAGGTAGGATGAAGGTGGTGTAGAGAAACTAACGCACTATCCCACACGCATGGCCACTGGTTCAGATCCCGGATCTACACCCTCCCAGACCAACCAAGCCTTCTATCCTTCCCAAGTCGGTTAATCGGTACCAGACTTGTCTGGGAGGATAAAAGCACTGACTTATACATCGGCTGCCCACATCAAATCATTGTATGGGCCACACACGCATTCAATGCGCCACTACGATTCTGAACTGAAGTCGAATGCTAAGCGCACCCTCACACGGGATTGACTAACGACAGAAGACTTTATCATTTCCTCGTAGAAGGTGACTTTATCGATTACCTCGCAAAACTGTCCTCCGTAGCCATCGACACATGAGCAGGTGACGTTATTGGTGACACTGTCATGAATACAGTCACCATGACCGTTGCACAGACCGCAGAGCAACGCTGCACATACTCGACCGGGTTCAGCCGGATTACCGTCGGTATAGCTGGAACGGCAATACTTTATTTTCCATTGCGCTTCCACCGCTACGGCTTCTGGCGCGCTGTCTTACCCATCAGGACATTTACAGTCATAGCCAATCTTCTGATCTATACAGATTGCAGCCGCACTGCAGTTATGTAGCCCAAGAGCACACTCGTTCACATCCGTAAGCCGTAGACAGATCGTATCACCGAGACCGGCCTGAAATTGGGCTTACTTTTCCAGGGCTCTACCGCAAGCTGCTCCCAGTGCTCTTCTGTGAAGATGTATGAGTATGAGCTTACCTCTGATAACCTATCGGACTTACGCAGATCAACAAAGCCTGGGTTGCAGTCGCATTTAGCCTGGAAATAAGCGAACTTCCGAAACTCCCGGTTTCTCCGGAAAATTCTGNCTGAAATTGGGCTTACTTTTCCAAGGCTCTACCGCAAGCTGCTCCCAGTGCTCTTCTGTGAAGATGTATGAGTATGAGCTCACCTCTGATAACCTGTCGGACTTACGTAGATCGACAAAGCCTGGGTTGCAGTCGCATTTAGCCTAGAAATAAGCGAACTTCCGAAACTCCCGGTTTCTCCGGAAAATTCTGTGTATATCACCTGATCGCCAATGTTCTTACAGGTCGAGTTCAACGGGCAGTAATGAACATCGGAACAGTAATCGATGGTACAAACCGAGCCAGGTACTGCTCCTTCGGGAGCTGCGTTCACATATGGGGATATACACTCACATCTGTAAAATCAACCATTGATGTGCTGCCTTCTGCAGATGAAGAGCCACCTCAGTAAAACTCACTTGTAAAGGTAATCCAGGTCGATACAACGTGCATCCGGAGAGCACTCGTTCAATTCCGGTTTCTCACATTCATTCACGCCCACGTACGCAAGACATTGCCGTCCTGGATGTGACGGGTTCAGATCGCGATAGCCATTCGGACATTGGCAACTGAAACAGATCGGTACAATCATCTAGGTATCTGATGCTGAAGTATGAGACGCAATACTTATGCAAATGCGCCGGCATTATGTGACATTTTGGACGAGTTACGCCGTGCTTACTGCCCCAAATGGAAAGGAAAAGAAAAGAAATAACTCCCCGTTCAACGCTACAACTTGATCCCCGTGAAAGATATCTTTGTATTGGAAACCAAGCATTATAGCAGTTACCCAGATCTCAGAGCAGATAGTACAAGCGCTGCCCTAACATCGTACAAGCTCGAAATAGGCTAGCAGAGCGGAAATGGCCTATTCTTCCACTTTTGGGATACATCCAACATCGTGCACATGGAAAGTAGCCGTCTCCCCACCTTTCTCATCTTCAATTTCCGTTCAGCAGTACTCGACTTGTCATTCTAACGAAAAACTGACCTGTATCCTTTTCCAAGAGCAGTACAGATAGCGTTAGGGTGACAATCACTGCCGTAGCAAGCAGTGAACGGATTCATTTGATCAGGAGAGATAAACAGCTTGGACTGACCAACCTTAAAAGGTACTCGTTATTCTGCAACCGAAAAACAACTGAGTTAAAACAAGGATCAGGGTGATAGGTAAAAAAAATCGAAAGAAGTTTGACCGTTTAGCCCGTACTGACCTCATAATTGTTTTTCTTGATAATGTAGTCGACAAGGTCGGTGAACACCATCGATGGGGCGCTAACTGTGCCACGTACAAAGTGAGTGGTGAAGTTGTACAGGATACCGGAGATCCATGACTGCAATTCCAGACAATGAGAGAGCTGTGAAGAGAGGGGAAAATGCGTAGAGCTACTGTTTGTTGTAAATTGTCATGGACTGGGAGGAGTTAAAATACCAAAAGCTGAAATTCCCATTGCAGCAGCTTACTTTCAACAATCGTAGTTCCCACAGATAAAACTTACTCCAACGAGACAGCGAGACGTTGGACTCTGCCTATTATTCCCTGACTTTATTTTTGCATCGTAGGCATCGGAATTCGACTATCTTTGAGTCGGTCTATTCGACTACTCATTTCTGGGGCTATCGAAGAATAAAACTGGAGTTCGCTTGCCCCGAACCGAATGGTTTACAAGTGCTTCTACCATTCTAAGAGGGTTTGAAATTAAAGGCTTGTTCTGAATGAAGCCCTGAGCGGAAGCCATGCACATAACCTCCCTATTCTCGCCATTCTACATAGGTGCACGACCTTACTAGTTGGTAATTCCTCAGAGTAGATGGGCTACTGAATACGGTAAGTTATAATGTAGCAGCTTACCGCATTTCGCAGAGAAGGCTCCTCGATATCGTTCACTTCAACGGAAACGAAGCCGTTCTTGATGGGTGTTTTGTTGTAACTTTGAGCAATTCCTGTCTCGAACCTGGAGAAAACGAGGACATCAGGGTGCGTGGGTTGGGCTTGATCAACCAGTGGTGCAAGTCACCCACCTGTCCACCAGCTCCTTATGTCTGTCGTCTCGGGGATTAGCAATAGCTGGCGTATATTTCAGTGGATTGTTGCCGTCTCGAATGACGTAGAGCGGCAAATTGAACGATTCCACCTAAGAGCGACATGAATAAACCAGCATAGAGCAGTGGGAAGGCGAATACGCCACATACCACACGACAAGGGCTTTGTGCATCCTTGCGTTTCTGTCCCTTTGGACAACCACAAAGTTTACCAGCAATACACTCCTCACCGAGCGCTTCATTACAGAACATCGTTCCGCATGAAGTACCGTAGACCTGATCTTCGACCCTGAAGACGGACGCCGTATGGTTGAGTAGTCGGACTGGTACTTGCCAGGCAAGAAAAAAGGAAGGAAACTCACTTGCAAGGATCTAACAATGCAAAATCATCGGCAACCTTGAGCTTTCCGATCTGTCCTCCATTGGCGTTAACCTGAATTTTTCAAACATAGCCACTGTTTTTGGTTACAAATTACTCACGAAGATCTTCTTGGACCTTGTTTTATATCAAGTTACCTAATGATAGTACTCAGATCAAACTCAGAAACTCGACTATCCCTCTTCTTCAGAGCTTGGCTTTCGTTAAACGTTGAAAGTTGAAAACGTTATTTCTTTGAAAGCAGTGATTCCAATTTCAACGAGTTTTATAACATAAAGGACCACTGCGCAAAACCGCCGGTCTTATTAGTCTTCATATTCTTGGCCAAACTTTCTACAACTTCTGAGTGATCCTCTTCTTACAACCTGTTACCTGTATGATAAATAATTCTACAATTTTTCCTTTCCCATGTTTCTCCTTTCCCTTTTTCTTTTTTCTTTTTTCCTTTTCCTTACTACTTCGATTTTTGATTTCATATTTGAAACGAATACCTGGGCAGCGAAATCTTTGAACAGTTTGCATCTGTCGACATTTTCATCACCCGATAGCTTCACTGAACCATTTATGAGAAGTCCACGATCCCATGTGCTGAAAAAAGTGAATGTACTGTTTGCAACCGTTTCGTAATCATCTTTCCTGATTTTTCTGGTGCTTCAAAAAATAGACATGATAGAGTTGGGCAGTAGTAATCTCAAATACTATATATTTACACCTGTCGTTATCTCTGATCAAAAACAGCGAAAGTAATTAAGGTTCCCGTGAGATGTTGAAGCTCTGCGCGCTCCCCTTTGTACTTTGCCTAATGATAGGAACGATGCATTTTTTTTTCGATGAAGGTAGTCGAATTTTGGTGAGACGAAATTAATGTGCCCGGCAAAGTTCTCTCATTAGCATTCGATCAGATGCGGCGGTGTTCAGACACTAAAATACCGTTGAAGAACTGCGTTCGAGTGCAGCTACCGTTCATAAGGAAGGATCAAGTGAGTAGCCAGCGATAAGCATGATTTTGTCGGGCCCTCATCAGAAAGCATAGAGCTTTCAATGCATTCTCATCCCCGTAAATCCTCATCCTCATCCTTTAAATGAGCTTTCAGGTACTATGTAAAAGTTGTGGCAGAGGTTGTGAGCTTTTAGGCTGAAACCTTACATATTGACTGTATTTTCTATGGGTAAGTCATGAGCGAGAACGAATTTCCCCTAGCACTCGACGTTTTGGAAATTCAGCCCGACAAGCTCCGATAACGGCATTTCCTTTGATCTAGCTTAATCTGGAAACACAGCAGAACGAGGGCTATTGTAATCTAGCCTTCCTTATTCCTCTCGTCAAGTGACTTTCTCATGAATGTTACGCCCAGTCATGAATTCCTACCATTTTTCAGTTTTTTACAACTGAGATAGAAAAAGAAAGACGGAACGACCCAGATTGAATTCAGGCACGGATGGGTTTTTTAAAATGATTGGAGGAAGAACGATTAGCCGCTACTCGACCTTCAACTGCTTAGCAATGTGATAGATCGTTTCTAACGACTTTTTGCTTGGACTATCGAAAGAATGTCTATGGAGGTGGCATTAAAACCTTACTGTCACCTTACTTGGATCTTTACAGTCAACCGGATATAGAATGATTCTTTAAGGGTTAGCCAGAACGGGAGTTGGTTGAAGGTTTTGCAGCGCCGCCTATTCGGTCTCTGCTTGAGCCTACCCGGACTTGCATTCTACTCCAACGGGAAAAAAATTATTTGTCTAACAGGGAAATCCGGGTGTGATGCACTAGAAACGAAATGGTCGCGTCGCTGTGAGGAGGCGTCGCGCGCGAAGGAATGTAGCAGGATGCACCATTAGGTAAGAAATACAAGAACAAAAGTACTAATAGTAGAATTATGCATAAAATAATGGTCGCATATCGATTGAGCTGTATGAAGAACGCTAAAGCTGTAATAACGGCGAATGAGTGGTCCGCGACAGCCGCGTGCGGCGAATCAATTACCCAAAATCGTTCCTAACGCCCGTCTCCCGAGAAATACAACTAGGGGCTGATCGATTGTCTGTCGACAGCACTGGCGGTTCTTTCCAAAGTGCTGTTCACGTCTACTCAATTGCACGACAACAATATTCACAGTAAGCTATGATAGTGATGTTAAAAGATGTACCTGTTTTCGACTTTGGGATTAGTGATGTAGTTAATATCGGTGGTGACGTAACGAGGAGCGATGTCCGTCTGACGGAACACCTCACCGAGACCCTGAATCGACCACGATTTTTTGCTTTATTCTCATGTTCAGTTCAGGAAATGACCTACCTTAACTGCATCCTCAACTATTTGCACATGCTCTGGACTGGTTGGCTTACTGTAGTCGGTTGAATATTGTAATGGCTCGCCGTCAAAATCGATCACTCGGACCACTATTGGCACCTTAATAGACCTCTCAATTGGCGTCGGGAAATGCAGATTTGTTTGTGGGTCTGTTTACACGATTTCTGGGGTTTAGGCTTGAATATCTAAAAGTTCAATCAAGTATACCCACCCCACCTAGCTTCGACTGTTCGGGAAAAACAAGTAGCCGAGCTGAAGTTTGTTTTGCTGCTCTGCATTAAAGGCGCAGTTCACGTTGAGAATTATTTCTGAGTTTTCTCCCAATGATGAACCCCCCACTCCCAAGAATAGCACAAGGGACGCTGTCAAGGCCCCCAAACCAGTTCAAACCGAACTGAAGTTTACACCCAAAGGCGGACGAGTTCTCACTGCAATGTAGAAGTTTGCACCATTCGCAGCGGGACAAATATGTTGCATGCAGGCAGCTTACTGTAGCCAGCTATACGCAATGATACACTTTATTGGAGAGCTCGTCAAAATATCCCTTACATGCAACTTTTGTCGCCACATTCATGTGTAGCCCCTAATTTTGCTCCGTTCTCAAAAGCTTATGTATCTCTGAACATGCCGACTTCCGCGATTTCTTCGCCACTTATGCCTCTTTCTGGGGCAACACCTTCATTATTTGCCTGGAGTCAAATACCCTGAAATTATCTGAGCTGTGCCTTCGAAAAGTACTTGGATGAGCTCGAGCTTGGCTAGTTTTTCCTTCCGAGAAATCTTAGTCCCTGAATCATGAGGTTCACGTACCGAAGTAACTGCAACACATTTATCATTAGGACTCGAACGAGACTCTCCCGGTCGGCAATCGCACTTCGATCCACCAATACAAACCTAGAAATCAAAGAAATATTAAGAAAAAAGTCTGATTTTAAAATTTAAAATAAGAATTAGAAAGCGAAATGGGGCGCTGAAGTTAAATATTTTATTTTTGAACCTTGAAGAGAAAACGTAAAAGGGAGGCAGTGACAAACAAAATGTTTTGAAGATCTCAGTCCTGAACCAAAATAGGGAACATTTGTCTAGATTTAAGGAAACTTCATATTTGATCCAATTACTAACTCCGAGCTCAACTACCGTCCCAAACTTTAGGCATCTGGAAGAGAATTCAACTAACCTCATGCAAATCAATTTTGCAGAATGTGTTTCCGCATGGAACCAAATTTGGCGATATGGTCGTCTTTTCGCTCTCTTGTGGTTTATCGATAACCAGCCCTAATTCTTGATAGATTATTGTGATGCGAAGGAATCTGTGGAAATATAAACGAAAATATCTTGAACGTACCAACGCAGACTCTGCCGGTTTTGAGAGGATCCGTATTTTCGTCGAAGAAACCTTGTTTACATTGGCAGATAAATCCATCGTCAGTGTCGATACAATCGGCGTTCTTATCACAATCGTTCGATTTGGGATCAGCACACTCATTGAACCTGTAAATAATGAGTGAGTATTTTACGTTCGATATTTTAAAGTAATATTGAATAACCAATAAGTTAGAGGTGACAAAAATTCCGGTTTAATTCTTAGTTAGTAAAATCCACAACAGCATTGTGAACTGCTAAACGGAACGGTCTTAGGTTCACCGGTGTACTCAGAAAAAGAACAGGTGGGATCTCACAACAAGGTGTTGTAGGTAGGTAGCCGCGCAAGGCTATTGGGGAACTATTTTTCCATTTTGGTTGGCTCTTAGCCATTCCTCCAGTCTGAGCAAGAATCTAAGTTCTAAAACTGGACCGTGAACTCGCAACTATCAACTGCCTCAGTCTTGACTTACCTGCAAACTCGCCCAGGATTCTGGGGCATCTGATCCACATACGGTGCTATGCACTTGCATTCGTACCCATCAATGGTGTCAATACATTCGGCTTTTTTGTCGCAGTCATTCAAATTTTCCGCCGAACATTCATTGATAACTAAACTCCTTTTTCATTGTGCCCGGCTAAAATTAGTATGCAATTGACTTACTGAATTTGCAGTTTGTTCCTGGATCGCTGGGATTTTGATCATGATAGTCTGGTTTGCACCTGAACATGCTTAATTTAGGAAGCTATACTTTTTTATCGATAGTAAACTTGAAGAATTCAGGACGTTTCACTATGGCACAGCATTCCTATCCTGTTATAAGGGCACAGTTCACTATTATTCTGTATCCGCCCAGATCAACCAAGCCTTCAATCCTTCCGGGGTCGTCTAGTTGATACCAGACCCGTCCGGGAGGATAAAAGCACTGGCTTGTACATCAGCTGGCTACTGCAAACCATTGTATGAACTACATACGCATACGATACACCACTGTGATTCTGAATGGAATTCGAAAGCGTGGCCGCATCACTCAGACAGGATTGATAACCGACTATATTCTTTATCCTTTATGGTGCAGAATAGTGCAAAGGTGGCAAACAAAGCGCGAAATCGCCGGATTTAAAAAAATCTGGCGCTTCGAAAGGTAGTGGGCAATCGGGGTTATACGATTGACGACCGAAGCGTCAACAACGGGGTATCAGGACGAGAAGTCAACTGCCGCAGTAGCGTAAAGAGCTGGCTACAAGTTGTTCCGATTGAAAAGTAAGAGGGAATGTGTGAATGTGAATACGAATGTGACGCTGTCTGTTACCGTCAGGGTGTCTCCCAGATAAGCGTACTATACGTTAGCAAACTAACACTTCATTGTGAATGGCCTTTTTA